TTTTAGAATTTTGTCATTTTTTTTAAATGGGTTTATGTATTCTAAAACATTTGAGGGCTAAAAAATTAAATAACAAGTAAAGAACCATTAATACTAAACTAACTTTTCATTAAAACAGTTCATTTAAAAATAATTTGTTATTATTAGAATTGTTTTAAAGCTATTTTCTTGTGGTATCAAAGTAACAATAAACTTAAACTTATTTTCAACTTTAATTGTGGCTTATTCGCATTAAAATAGTAATTACTAGTATTAGAAGTATTAGAAAATGCCTTACTTCTTATTCATTTTTGGTTTTAGATAAGTTGCTTGTTTTATCTTCATACATCTACTCGCATACCTCCACTTCTTTCGGAAATAGCCCTCCATGTTCTAATATCCTACTTGTTTATTTTTCCTTTTGTTTTGTTTAGTACCTAGCTAAAAATAAAAAAAAAATATTTAAAAATTCTTTATGAAAGGTATAAAATTAAAACACCCTATCTTGCTACACCACAGAACGTTTTCGGAATTAATATTTTAACCACTTTAATTAAAGGAAACATGAAATTTAAAATTTGGACCAAGGTACAAAAAGTGGTTAATAATAATTACTAAATGTACAATGTTTAAAGCCACTAAATACTTTTGTAAAAACCAGGTAAATGTTTTTATTTGAATTTAAGTTACATTATTTGATCATATATGCTATGATGTTTAAGTTACAATTGGAATTGATAACATGGCAACGTAAGGCTCCACTGGAGGTTGCTGGTCCTGAGACAAAGTGTCAACGAGGACTTAATGATAGCAACTGATTGAAATGACAATAATGCCATGTTAGGACGGAAGTCGGAACAAAGCAGTCAATATAACTTGAGGTATTTGTCTAAATATAACAGTAGACAGCAATGTTTAAAATTAAATAAGTTAAAATTATAACAAAATATCAGTAGCAACCTGTTGTAGTTTGAATTATGAATTTATCCTAAATTTACGTTAAGAAATTAAAAAAACAAATTATTTATGTAGGTGGACTGAAGTTTGGTAAAATTTTGTGGGGACTGGTAGGCAACCAACTGTACAAATATCTAAACTAAGTGGTGGTAAAATAAAGATTTTTACAAAAGGCCCTTTATGTTTTTTTGCATCATTTTGTTGCATTTGATTTAGTGGCTCAAGACATGTATATTTAGTAAGTATTAACATTTTGTATTAAACTTGGTCAAAATTTTAAATTTCATGATTTCTTTAATTAAAGTGGTTACATACGTTTAGGATGCACGGATGATGGAATATTAATTCCGAATACGTTCTGTGATGTAGCCCGATAGGGTATTTTAATTATATACCTTTTATAAAGGATTTTTAAATAATTTTTTTGTGATACCTGGTATAGAGCCAGCTACAGGAACTTAGTTTTCATATGGATTCTAGGTAAAAATATTTCCAGTTTGTATGTCGAATACTTTCTACTATAATATAATCTTAGTTAAGTATATTCTAACTACTTATTATAGTATATTATTTTCTTCTATTCAATAAATTCTCATTGTTAAACTGGCTAACACTTTTAAGTCTGTTTTTTAAGTTCAAAGAAATTGACTTCCCTTTATTATTTGGTCACTTTTTTGCAAACCATATAAAACGTTACAAAATATCATATTTCTGTGACCATTTAGTTAAAATTATTGCCATTTAAAATCGCAATATAATAGAGTTGGGTTATGGGTACGCACTTACCCTACGGACTACCTAGAAGCGAGGCCAGAAAAATTCTGACTATTTTATACTAACACAAGACACTTTTTATCGAGACAGTGTAAAATAATTATCTTGAGTTTATCAGGACGTCCCTTTTTTGTGCCTCGTCAGGTACAACTCTACTTCACTGGCCAAAATAATTAATACACCCTATTTCAAAGATTAATATTTCTTTGTACAGATAACAGCAATGAGTTAAGCTTGCTAATTCTCGTAATATTTAAATTAATTGCTTATTTATTCACAATCAAAATATTGCATTTTTCTTCCATTATTATTCTAATTAATTTAACCAGCGACCTCTAGTTTTACACAAAACAGACTTTGTCTTTTATTTTGTTTTAGATGCGGAAATTATCATATTGAAAACATTTAGCTTGTTTTTCCTTTCTGTTAATAGCATAACGTCGTCTGTATAAATTACCAAATCTTCATCGTTTCAAAATTTGTGGAAAGAATTAATTAATAAAAGGACCAGTATTTTTTAAAATTTAAATCTAAAAGTTTAGTTATTTCACCAGTTTCTAAAAATATAATTTTATATACATAAAATGTATGTAAATATATGATTACTTTGAAAATTATAAAACATCTTTATAGAACCTGTTTATAATAATTGCAGACCATAACTTGCATATTTTGGTTTCTTTAGGATCCAAATCTTCGATCTTGTAAGTTATTTATTTCAAAGGGCTCGATTGACGTCATATATTTTTCCGTAGTTCCACGTGAAAGATCTTTTGTGTATACCCTACATTTAATATAACAGATCTTGGCTTTAGTTGAGGTTCTAAACTCTATGACGTTAGCCAACAATTTCCTTACAATTGGAGACCATATGGTTGGTCGTTTCCTCAGGGTTTTCCTAAAATCTGTACATTGCTTTGTTATTTCTTCAGGATTAAGACGTTTTTTCAGGCTCCCTGAAAACTCCATAAAACATATAACAACTATAAACTGGTGGTAGACATATAAAAATAAGCAGTAATATAATTAGAAAATACCTTTACAAAGATATATAATACAATCATGAACAAATAAAATTTTGGCGTATCTTGAGATATTACAGGTTACAAAAAACAAACCATAAGAACTTAACCAAACCGCACTTGGTTAAGTGGATTAACTATCTCGCACTATTATTTAATGAGAAACTGAGACTTAAATGTTCATAATTATTACTTATTGAAATTTCTTGAATCTATTGAAATGTTTTTTAAATTGAATACAAAAATCATCAATCTACAGGTGAAGACATGGCATAACTTTAGATACGTCCAGATAATGGCGGATGATATGATACCATACTATATTACTCGCCCAGATAATTTGAAGATAATGATTACTCACAGTAAATCTTGACGACTGCTGCACTAGGTACTTCACTGAAGCTTTATACTGAACTTAATACTTTACTTGTATCCAACACTGACTTTTTTTACATTAAAGGTACTTCAGAACTATATATAATCTAATATAGTATAAGAAAAGAAAACGCAAATATAAAGTGTATACACACTTAGAAAACAATTCACAGACGATAAGATAACAGATGCGATCATGTGAAACTTTACTCAACGAGAGCCCACCGAGAAGTAACTTGGTATTTCTAAAATTTTACAAACTATCCAAGAAAAAAGAGGGGATATCTCCCACTTAAAAATCATAGGCCAGTCGTATGTAGTTCTGAGAAGGTAAAAAGATTCTAATGAACATCGAAACCAACGGTACCCTTCTAGCTATAAATGTAATGAAATATCAATCTTCTAGATTAGGTTTTTCCGAAAAATTACTATACGTGTCTTCGAAATATTTAAAAATCTATCATAAAGGAACCCACCTTCACCGAAAAGCATTACTACGTGCGTTCGAAGACAGTTACCGAATTTATGAAAAAGAACCCGCCTTCACCGAAAAGCATTAGTTCCTTTCAAACTCGGGATTAAGAAGGAAAGGATTAAAAACCTTTCGTACTCGTTAAAACTAATTTCTACGGGAAATTCCGTGCTATTGTGGTAGCTAAATTCGGCCGTTATAAATATTTCTAATCGTACACACGATCATCGGCGTATCATCCACGTGGGTGAAGGGAATTAAAAATAATTTCATATATTTATTATATAAAAAAATGTTACAGAAGTGATAAGTCTCCTCCATAAGGACAACATTTTTTGATCTTATATTGGTCTAATCGATCTTCTAGATCTAGTAATCATATTCTTCTTTTTTTCTGAAGTCTTATACTTGACAAGTATTTACTTAGATATTATTTTAATATGGGAAGCCACAATTGATTGTAAAGAATATGACATTTTATAAAGATATATAGATATATTGTATGTATTTGGTGTTTTGTGTATGTGTCTGCGTAACATAGCCACATCATGGTGAATTGCCTTTTTTTACCCATCTAGTACATATAAATGTTCTAGCAACGGATTATCTGGACGAGGTTAAATTAAACTCACGTCATCTTACAACGGTCTTATCATAGGCATAGAGGTTATCACAACAAGAACTGTGCCAGGATTCTTTTTTATCTCTGTTCGATTAATGGTGTTATTATAAAGATTGTCTTTTTACTGGTCATACTTTTTTTTGTTTAATTCTGCCAAAATTGTGTTTTTTTTCTGACAATTACAGTATCGCTCTATCTTTAACAGTTTTATAAGACAACTCATAAAGTATTTCTCCTTTTCATTTTCTTATTGTCTGAAAATTTGTGTAAAAGCAACGTTTAAAAATAAATGTTTTGACCTGGCTAAAGATAAAGAGAAATGTGGCTTTGTTAACCACTGACTTTTTTGAAGTTTACAATATTGTTGTTAAAATTTATTTGAAGCATTTCCAATTTGAATATATTATTTTTTGGTATTTAAAAAAAAGTAGAAATCAATTTGCGAGATCGTTTTACCGGACCTAAACTTTTCCACAATTAAAAATAAAATTTATTGTGACTTGTCAACAAGTGGCAACATTTTTTAGCATATGCATGAATGAACTATGCTTAGGTTACAGTGGGATAGAGCATATACCGTGGATCTACTAAATTAAATGATACTATAGTACTTGGCCTTCAAGACTACATGGCTTAAAGCAAGCATGTTTCTGTAGCATCAATTTTTAAACAAGTTTTTTTTATATACATATTTTATCTACTTCGTTATTTTTTGCTATATTTACAAAAATATGACTTTTATAAATAGCTATAACAAATCCTTTTTCTGTATAGTTTATTAATTATTTCTTTGTTTTAGTTCTTCGAGATGAATTCAAAGTGATGCCAGCTGATACTCACGTGGCAGCGGGCGAGACCGCTCTACTTCAATGTGGAGCTCCTAGAGGGCATCCTGAGCCAAATCTCGTCTGGAAAAAGGACGGAAAAGATATGGATGTCGACGGTCGACGAATAAGGGTTGTTGATGGAGGAAATCTCATGATATCTGATGTTAGACAACACGATGAAGGAAGATATCAGTGTGTCGCTCATAATTTGGTAGGATCTAGGGAGACGCCACCAGCTACCTTAAAAGTACATGGTAAGGAATCGTTTTAGTTAGAAGTACTGTATTATAAATCATTATTAACATATTACTATCGCTAACCAAGCCTAACCATAAATTTAAATTTGTAAGTTTGGGAAACCTACAAAAATGATAATAAGTAATAACATTAAGGAACTATAGGAAAAACTAATTAAAATATAAAAATGATCTTGATTCCGTATTTATCATAAACGTCTGTTTTTTTGTATTGTCTTCTTTTCACCTGATACATTTTTTAAATAAGTGCAAGGTTTTTAACGCACTACTGATAGAGTAATTTATATACTTCTTCTCATTTTCATGTTAGCTTTATAATAGAAGATTCCACGCATTATCAGAAACAGGAAAAGGTGTCAGTATATCCTTATAACCACACTGGTGTAGTGGAATTAGAATTCCAGAGCCTTTTTTAAGATTCTCGTTCTCGAAAAGATTCTCGAAAGATACAAAATCTATCACTTGTTTTTGTATCTTTTATCTTTTATTGTATTGTCTTCATTTCTTTATTATATCTAATTTGATGGTATAGAGTGGTTGTAATTAGTAAATTTGTTTTCTTTTATAGCAATATAAATACTGTAATGTGTCTTCTCTTTTTAAAGTTCTTTTCCAATCATAGGTTGAAAATCATTCTACCTTTATTCACAGTTGCCCTAATTAATTGACTTGAACTCATATTTAACCATTCTCTTACATATTTAAGCCAAGAAATTCTCCGTGTTCCAATGATGCGCTTGCTCTTTATCTTTCCTTTTAATATTAAATGTAGCATCCGGTAGCATGAAATCCGGTTTCACTTATTATATGACCAAAATACTTGAGTTATTATTTTTTGTTTTTTGTTCATTCTTCTCCACACTTCTTTATTTGTAATACGCTCTATCTACGGTATATGAAGCATTTTACGATAGAACAATCTTTTTATTATTACACAAGGTATTTTGACTATTACACAATGTATTATCCTACTTTGTCTATTTTTGTATTAGATATAGTTAAGACTCATTGTTGTTTGTAAGGTTTTAAATTTTGTTTGCTTCTTAGTCAATTGGTGCAAGCTAAGGTCATAAATCTAAAACCACTAAATTCATCTTTATTTCATAAATATAACAAAACTAGTGAGATCGATATCAGGTTTTTTAGTCAAAATGTAAGACGGTTCTATTATCTCGTCAAACTCGATATTTCGCTAATGTTAATTAGCTTCATCAGGAGTGCACTAAAATTATTATTAAAAACAATTAATATATAGAACATACTTACAAACAAATAAAAACTCACAGAGTGAAATCATTAAAATGCAAACCAGCATATCACAGGACTTTAACAATTACACTAAAATAATTACTAATACCATTTTTAAAATACATTAACTTTTTTGCTTAAATATTAAAAACTAAAAAAAATTATATAGAGAGGTAGCCTTATGTTATTTTTGACGTTACTATAAAGGGTTTAAAATTAATAACATTCTTAGTTCGGTTGATATGACGCATCTCGATAAACAGTATATTTTTGTGATTGCTTAATGATTCCAATATTTTCACGTTATCATAATCAAACTGGTTACATGCTTTTATAAAATATTTGACAACAGCGCATGTTTTATTTCTCCTGTTGCAGTTACTTTTGTGTTGTGTGATCCACTGTTTTAGCCATTGTCCGGTTTGTCCAATATAATTTCCTCAGTTCCATTTCTACTTCTTGTCTTAGTCTCTTCTCTATTATTTTTGTATATATTTTAAAGCTTACCGATGATAGGCATATTGCTGCATAGTTTTCGCAGTTTACATGTTTTTCTTTTTTTGTATAATGACATGATGATGTTGTTCTGTCCGTCTTTAGGGATTATTTGTTTTTCTTACGCCTCTTTATATATTTTCCACAGCCAGTTTATTCCGTTTTCTTCCATGTATTTTACTATTTCCTGTTCAATTTCATCTCCACTTGCCTTGCCTATTTTTATATTTGATATTACTTCTTCCCTACTTATTTGCTCTAGCTTTGTCTTCCTTTACATTGTCTTCCTTTATTACTTCGGTATCAAACTTTTTCTCATAATATCCTTTCCATACCTAGCTATTTGTTCTGGGTTTAGTTGAATTTGTTTTGATGATCCTTTTCCTGCGTTCATCTTCCTGCGTTTGTTTTCTTTCCTTAATGTGTCGTATTGTCGTCCAAATTCTCCTATTATTATTTATATTACGTATTCTTCTTGTTGCAGTTCCGCAACTGTATATAAACATTTGCAATGTATTAACACACTTTTTGATAGTTTCGATTCTCCCCGTATATTTAAACTGATATTTGCTTGTAAAATGGCACAGCGGTTTAAGGGCTAAAAATTCCAAGACGGCCATCTTGAGATAAGGGGGGCGATTTCCATATACAAAATGTATTTTTAAAGTCAAAATTAGAGTCGAGTTTTATCTCTCAAACCATACAGGTGTGTATGTGTGTGGGTTAAAGGTACCTGACACTCTCAAATGCATTTGGGGTGGAAAGTGCATTATCAACTTTTTGTGGTTTCTGTACGTCGGTGAAGGCGTCATTTGTCGTAGCGGTCGTGCCATCATTTTATTGAGTAAAGTACATATACACAATATATACACAATATATAATTTTGTTGTTGGATCGACTAATATACGTATTTTGTGCCCCAACATCACATATTGTGTCGCGGTTTTTGAACTTTTTACATTTGTTTGCGACTTTATTTTATTGTGCTGAACTTTATATTTCATTGTGTCGCCCGTTGAAAATATTTACGTTTGCTTACAGATATTTGACTGTATCCGTAATTATTATGGACTTGTTTGCATTGATAATTGCTTTAATTTATTAATAATTGACAACTTATTAGATTGTACTAATTTAACTATTATTTTTGTGTTTTTATGAGGTTACTAATTGCATTCATTTTATTATTAAATGTGCATTTTGTTACCGGATATATTTTTAAATTGACTTTATTGAATTGTTCTTATACCATTGACATATATGTGCCAATCATTTTGTGTTTAATATATGATTATAACGTGGTATACCTATATACGATATTATTTTACTGCTTTCGGTCAGTAGTTTTTTTTTTAGATTCGACATTTTTCTGTATCTATTTAATCGATCCTGTCATTAAGGGCACATTTATTATACTTTTTGTATTGTAACTTACTCAGACTTAATATTTAAAAATTGCCAACTTTTTGGTGGTGGTCATTTGAATAATTACTTTAGTTTTGAATAGTTATTTTTCTGCATATTTTCGATATTATTTTTTTAAGATACTTAGTTAATTAAAGTGTTTATTTTTTGTTGACTCTTTATATTTATTCATTAATAAAAGATCAATATGTGTTAGAAATTATTTGTCGAACATAACAAAAAAAAACACTGAAATGTAAACATTTTATTAATTTAGAGTAAATATTGGTATTAATTAAACGTAAGTTGTATAAAAAAAAATTCTACTTCGAGCTGCAAAACATTGCAAACATTCTTTTGTAATTTTTGTTTTTTGTTATTTGATAAAACGTCGAATGTTTGTACGGTTGTAAAGTTTGACTAATTTGTCTAACGAGTCATGATCAGTTAGCTTTATTAACTCTTCGTTCGTCAAGTCCTAAAGTTTCTTTTAGTTTGTTTTATTGTTAATATAAGATGTCTGGTCCTGTAAGTTATTTTGGTCAACTCTATAATACTTTAGTATTAATTTGTAAATGTGAGCTTTGCAATTTCTATTAAAAAAAGTAAAATTATTTAATAAGTATTTTGTATTAACTTTGTTACTATTTTTGGTCCTTTGTTTTTAAAGTTGTGTTATGTAACTGTGAAACAGACTTAATAAAATTTGCATTTAGAATCACTTAACAGTTCATTCATTAAACAGCGGGAGTTCCTCAGAACAAGACACGCTTGTACCATGAAACATCAAAAGTATTTTGATGACATGCACATGTCACCATTTTTAACAACTCGGTAATATTTTTTCGGCTGCGTATAGAAGCCATGACTTGCTAGATCCCGAAGCTCACTTTTATTTTTGTCTTTCCGCATTCACGATTCGATGGGTTTGAACAAAACGGCTTTTATGCCTAATATAAGTCAGTCTCAGATGTTTCGAACACCGACGGTGACTTTTATTTTTCACGGAAAAATTTATCTGCCGATCGCTGACAGCGATATGCTCCATGTCGCCGTTTATCATGTGTCTACCTTCAACTTTTTAGTTTCCATGGAAGTATTAAATCGTCAAATTAATCACAAATTTCCTCTATATATATATATATATATATATATATATATATATATATTTAAAATATATTCAATGGTTGAATAGTAGAGGTTTTATCGGTCAATAATTGGCAAATAAATATATTTTAAATTTAATCAACGGTCGTATTTTTTGCTATATATATATATATATATATATATATATATATATATATAATATATAATATATATATATATATATATATATATATTATATATATATATATTACAAGTACTCGTAAAACATACATACCTAGATAAGAAATAAATAATAGCAAAACTTGCATCGTGAATAAAACCGTAAATACGTATTTCTAAGTATTTGGTTGTCATCATTTATTCTATTCACGTTGCAAGTTTTGCCAATAATGATTTATTATCCATGTCTATACTAGTAGGTACTCGCATTAATGATTTTCTTTTTATTTTAATAAATAATTCTGGGGTTTCTTTCCTTAGGTTGTTGTAGCTTCTTTAGTAGTTAGTTGTAGCTCTAGAACTTCCAGTGTTTTCTTACATTATTATCATAAAAGGGTCGCATTGCTCCTTTGGTGACCCTTTCTCAAGTTAATTTTCTCCTATTCTAACTTGGCTGCAATGTAGTGGTGACAACGAAATAGTCAGGAATACGTATTTACTAATTTATCATAAACATGGCGTCTATGCAGGATCTTCCGGATCTGAATCCTTGTTGCTCATCTGATAAAGTTGTTAGTTTATTGATTTTGTTGGTTAGGGCTTTTGTGATAAGCTTAAGCACGGTGCTCAATAGATTTAGACCTCTATAATTGTTTTGGTCTTCGATATCTCCTTGCTTGAACATTGGTATCATTATGCTATTTCTCCATGCGTCTGGTATCTTACAGTGCAATATTAGTTTTTGTATAAGTTGTGTCATCTCTAGGGTTATACTTTCTCCTCCGTGTTTTAGAATCTCGTTTATTATTCCGTCTTGTCCTGGTGACTGGATCTGATTTTGATTTGACCTGATTTTTGACTGAAGTAATGACTATCTCTAATTCCTGAAAACAGATTTCTATTTCGCGTCCTAATTCAGTTACGTTATTGTGTTGATTATTATTTTCCTTTTCTTTAAACAGTTTTGTTAGGTATCTTTCTCATTCGTTTGCTAGTAGGTTATTGTATGTCTTTAATTCTGTTATTTCTTTTCGTTGGTTTCTTATAAATCTCCATATTTGTTTTGTGTACCGTAGAAGTCGCTTTCCATCCTTTCTGTAAACTGTTCCCAGTGTTCATTTTTTATTCTTCTTACCAACTGCTTTGTTTCATTTCGTATTCTTCTATAGTTGTCTCTGGATTTTGGGGTTTTTAATGTTTTGTACGTCGTGTAGGCCTCTCGTTTCTCTTTACATTTTTTTTTATTTCTTTTTTGAAACATAGTGTATTTGTGTTGTTTCTTTTGTTCAGTATGACTTTGAGTTTTCCTAGAGCTTCTGTTGCTGATTCTTTAATGTTGTTTTTAACTTTCTACTTCTAGGAAGCTAGATGTTTCGTAGACCCGACCAAGAAGTTTCCTAACTTCTACGTCGCGTTTATATCTTCGATGTCGTTCATTTGTTTCAGCTGTATCTTCTGTGCTAGCCTCCTTTGGTACATTTCTCTTATAGAATCATTCCACAGTGATTCTACATTGGATTTTTCCTCGCTGATTTCCTGTAGCAAAAGTTTTGGTATAATTTTTATTCTTATTTTTGCTAGTAATAGTTTATGTTCACTCCCTGCGTCTGCTGAGTTTAAATTTCGGATATCTAGAATTTGCTTTTGGTGGATTTTTCTATTAGTTACTGTAAAATCAATCATAGATTTGTGTCATCTGGCGTTTTGATATGTATATTTAGACTGGAGCTTATTTAGCCACAGATATCACCCATGAGTTCTTCATTTGCGTTGACATGGTTTTCATTATATCTTTGTTTTACTCCTGATACTATTTCATTTCAGATTTCGTTACACTTATATCATTAAATAGGTGATAAATTCTTTCTGTCGTATTCAAAACATAGATTCTACAAATTTTGAATTTAAATATAAATTATCGGTAGTAATAGATACCTAATCTTTTAAGAACTTTCTACAATAAACATTTTACTAAGACATGTTTGTGATAATTGTTAATTTTTGTATTTCTCCAGTGGAACTTCAAATGTTTCTGCAAATTTTGTAAAGTCTCTGCACATATTATGTATCTTGCTCTTGGTTTTAAAGATTTGGTTTTTATACCGAGTAATAAAGCATATGTAAATTTGATTTTAATAGCATTCATAAAAAGGTAATATATATTCCTTCTCTTCTGGAAAAAGGTTGGAGAAAAATGAAATTTTAGTAAACAAGAAAATAATAATATTTAACCATAAATCCAAATGTTTGTAAAATGTTTTATTAAATACCCAATAAAAAAATCCTCCTTATATATTCACGTAGACTGACAGACAAATTGCTTTTTTCAGTGAAACCGCTATTTAATAAGGAACCTCAGGATATAGTGGCTTTAACCGGTCAAAAGGTAGTTTTTGAATGCTCAGTGGAAGGGGACCCGACCCCAAACGTATTGTGGCGTAGAGAAGATGGAAAAATGCCTATAGGAAGAGCTAGGATTATGGATGACAAATCTCTGCTTATCGACAACGTACAAACAACCGACGAGGGGTTGTACATTTGCGATGCGGAAAACTTGGTAGGGACTATTTCTGCCAGAGCGTCTTTGGTTGTCAACTGTAAGTATAATGCAAATAGAATTAAAAAATATTTGAATAATTCAATACTCGTTTTAATAAAGTGATTGAAAACATTTTAAATCCTTAGAAATCCCGACTGACTTTTGTTAATTATCTATATTTTACTAAATAATTGTCAATTTAGCAATAAATTGAACAATATTTTATTTTATTACATTATTATGTCTTTACGCTATTTTTTATTTTTCCTTTTTAATGCGATTATAACAATCTCTAACTTTTCTATTTTGCATAACACGTGTAAGTTGTTTTTTACTCTATCCACCAAAACTGGATTAAAATCGGTTTTAATACCATTAGTGTTAAATAGGTACTTTTTAGAAATAAACTTGTTTGGTTTGGTAAGTAATATAGTAATGAAATAATTACGATTGAGGTGTCGATAGCGATAATATACAACAACGGCTTCGAAAACAAAATTGCATTTTGATCTTGTTGCAAAAACACTCGCATGTTATTTTTCAATTGGAGCGTCTTAAATGCCGCAGCAAATTGGATGACGTTAGGTATGCGTTTAGGTCATCCGCAGCAGTTAATTGTATAATAATTATTAAATAAGGAACAATCTGACAATAGGATCATCAAAAATATTTTTGATTGTCTAGAGATCGTTAGTCCAATGATTAGGGGGTCCTTCTCTACTTCTTTTGTCTAACCGTAGCCGCCACTCATGCAATCTCTTTGTCCACCTTTCATCACTGATTTGGTCAACGTGTCTAGCCCAGTTCCATTTCAGTGTGACAATTCGGGAAATTACATCGGCAACTCCTGTTCTTCGTGTTAAGTCCTTATTTCTAACTTGGTCACGAAACGATATAGTCAGCATTGACCTTTCCATTTTCCTCTGAGCTATCTATTTGCAGCGTTTTAGTACTTGTAGCTGTCAATTTCAAGTTTTAGCACCATAGGTCATTACAATCAACACACATTGGTCAAATGTTTTACGTTTTAAAGAAATTGGTATATCGCTTTTAAAGAAGTCTGAGTTTTTCATAGGCTGCCCATACTTGGTTTATTGATCTTCGTAGTTCGCATGTTTGGTTGTCTCTTGTGATCTTTATTTCGTACCCAATATATATGTATTTTTTTCGCCAGCTCTACTTCGTTGTCTCTAATACTGATATTTCCGCTAGGTACTAGGTTTGTCATGAATTTTGTTTTGGAGATGTTTATTTTAAGATATACACACATTTTAAGATGCACACACTAACTGGAGTTCATGTAGCATTATCTCCTTGAGATTGTCCGAGAACAAAACTATGTATTTTAAATTTGTTAATCTTCTACCGTCAATGTTCAGGCCTTTCTCTTCCTACTTGAGTTTTTTTTAAGTATATTCTAGTACTACGGTAAACGGTTTGGGCGATAAGGTATCACCCTGTCGAACTCCTCTGACGAGTGGGATATGATCTTTGTTTTCATGTAGTTTCACCGACATAGTTGCATTCTTGTATGTATTGTAAATTTACCTTGTATATCGGTAGTTAATGCGGCATGCTTATAGTGCTTTCAGAATTTTGTCAAATTCTAAAGAGTCAAAGAGTTTATGGAAATCTACAAAAGCCAGAACGAGTGGTCGATTGTATTTTATAGTCTTTTCTATTACCGTTTTAATGCTCTGTAGGTAATTATTTGTTTCAAGTCCAGTACGAAATTCCGCTTGCTCTATTGGCTGGTAGAAATCAAGTTTTTTCTCAAGACGATTTGTTACTATTCTTGTAAGGATTTTGTATAGGTGACTAAGAAGACCCTTAGGTCTGTGGTTTTCTAATTCAGGGGGATCTCCTTTTTTGTACAATGGAATTACCTCTGCATTGTGCCATATGTCGGGTATATTATTGTCCAAAAGGCACATTTTAAAAAGGTTTTTTATTTTCTTAAGTAGCCAAATGCCTGCACTTTTGATTACATCAGTAACTACACAACCTTCGCCTGGAGATTTGTTATTCTTTGCTTTTCTTAGGGCTAGTTTTATTTCGTTCATTGCGATTTCCGGTAGTAGTTCTGATCCTTGGTTGACAATGGTCTTTTTTCTTGTTAATATTTCTGATACTTGATCTTCTCTGCTCTTTGCTTTGTGTTGGCTTGTGTACAGCAATTTGTAGAAGTCTTTAACTATTTTAAGTGTTTCTTCGCTGTTGGTTGTAAGATGACCATTTCTATCTTTAATCTTTATTATCTGCCTTGTCCCCGTTCTTAGTCTTTTTCTCAATACTTCCATACTTCTATTGTTCTCAATAGTATGTTCAATTTGTTCTTGGTTGTGTTTTCGAGCGTCTTGTCTAACAGCTTTGTATGTACATTTATACCAAGAGATTAATTTGCCTACCTGTAAAATCTTCGCCTTCGAAATCTATATATTTTTGACGTTGGTGCAATTTGGTGGGTCATTTATTTGTATGTTGATACTATTTTATTGGGAATAAGCCAAAGTTAAAGGTTAAAATAAGTTTACTGACGTTTACACGTCGAAAATCGTTTACAAATTTGTATATTGAATGGTAATTTCAAGGCAAAATGTGCAATTCGTCTGCCTTCTAATAAAGTTGCAAATCTCCCATACAAAGCCAACGCTAGGGCTAGTGTGAGCTAATTCTTGCTAATAACAATAAAATTAGTAATGTTTTTTCTGTCCATCCCGGAACACCAATGAAGTAAATTCCACTATATCCAATGTTCACAACTTCTATCAAAGTATCGTACGCAATATGCTTTGTTGTTAGTTCAATTGTAGAAAGTTTTTACGAACTATTTTGGCAAATACTTCAGTGTTGAACTGCTGTTCTCTTTTTAGCTGTTGTTCTCTTTCTAACTTTTGTTCTCTTTTATTAAGTCACAAAGAAAAGAATATTAAGTAATAGATTCGACCGTTACTTGATGTGTTTACACTTTATAGTCTTTAACTGAATAAGTTGAGGAGGGAAGAACTGTTTGTCTAAAGTTGGTCATAATTATGTCTGTAAAAAATATAGACATATTTATTTTATTTTAATTAAATTTATTTTTTTTTGTTTTTTTTTTTATTTTATTTTACTTAATTTTATTCTATTTTATTCTATTTTACTCTATTTTATCATATTGTATTTTAATAAACAATTTTCTGAACTTAAAAACTACATAATATACAATATATTATAATTTCGTGCCTCCCTTTAACAAAAAGTAACATTTCAACGTTGTTCGTTGGTGATGGTTCATCTCATTGTGTTGCGTTTTTTTTTCGTGAAATAAAGTCATTGTCCATTCACTAGGTGAACAGCTAAACTAACAAAAGTAGGATGACGTGGATGTGTGGAAAATTAAGGGATTCTCCAAACCGCCGCATTGACATATGTTGACACCTTTTCGTTATTGTTTGCGGAAATACCAAATACAACTATGTTGTTATGTCAATCTATCAATACTGACTTTGTAATGATAGCTTCTTCTGTATGGCGTCATCTATTAGTTATGTTTTCTTTTTTTTTTCTGTTTGCTTTTTTTTTGGTCATATTTTGGCCTTAAAAGACAAAATATCTTGTTGCTGTACAACAATGACATTAAAAGGATTTTTCCTTTTTGATTTTAAGACTGCTTCAAACCAAGCAGCAGGAGTATACACCTGATTTAAATAACGGCGTCTTCATCATCATCATCACTGGCTCGACAACCCTTTTTGGGTCTTGGTCTGTTCAAGGATTCTTCTCCATTCTGACCTGTTTCGTGCTTTTTTTTTCAGTTTTTCCAGTTCAAAAACTGGAAATAACGGCGTCTATGTTTTTCAATAATTGCGAAGTTACGATCAGAAGGAAGATGAGTATGCCCCACTACTAGAAATCTATGTTCTATTATATCGAAGACACTTTCTTTAACTAGTTGTTACCACATACATACAATAGTCCAATTTTTGTTTTGTTCAGCGCAATTATTGCTTTATACAAGAAGCTTCCTATGTTCAGTAGGATTTTCTTTAAAATGCTTTTATAATATACTAGCAATCTCGTCACTTTCATATTGTGCTAAGTGTTCTGGCCACATATACATATATCTCATATTTCAAGTCATGTATTCCTAAGTTATTGGTGCAGATTTTTCGAAAATAAAAAGCAGGACCAACTGTCAATGAAGGTACAGGTAGAGCTGGCTGTAAATCAAAACTGATGACAAGTGTGTCTTTTGTTCTCTTAGCATTTTCTACTTCATCTTTCAGGCTTTTTTGCAAAGCTTCGGTCCTTCTATGGTGTAGCTTAAGTTAAGTCTTCAACCTGTCTGCTGATGTTTCTGTACTGCCAGCATTTCTAATTTGAATATTTAGAGAGTCACATGTTTTGCAAATGTCCGTTTTGGGTAATTTAAATCTAATGTTAAACTCCTTGCAAAAAACATTTCTGTAGTAGCTTTCTTTTACTGGAGTGGCATTTCTATGTCTACACCATTTCAGGTAATAATCGTGATGAAGAGCAGTAATCGATAAATCATGATCTATGTACACTTTGTATTTTTTGTCGTACTATATTGATGAATATTTTGGATGGACTTAATATGCGTTTTTAAGTTCTCATGATCACAGTAGTTAATTTTATTTGCTCTGTTCTGGTGTTTGCTACTTTTATCTGCTTTTAGAGTACTAGCACCTTCATTTGTTCGCATAAAAGTTGAATTCTTTTTTTTTAGTTTTGAAATCCGTGAACTGTAAGAAACTCTTGTTTGCATATTTTTACATCGATACCTTTGATCTTTACAAAGTATTGTATTGAAACATTTCGCGTCGATACATGTTTTTTATTTTTTATGGGGTAGGTTTTTTTTGGAACAGATTTAATATGGAAAAAAAGATAAATATTTTGTTTATCATATTTTCATCAAATTTTGTTTGGTTTTTCTCTTATGTCTAGTCTGTCTCTCTAGGTTTGGCGCCATCTTAAAGAAATAGCTTTCTCCGATGTGAAAAGAAAACCTCGTCTGTCAAGCAAATCGTTTTTGTTTCGTTAGCAGCAGAAAGTTTATTTGCCTGCAAACAAAAATAGTGTTATAATCCTGGGACTATCATAAAAGTTTTGTAATTATTTTTATGATCATAAGGGGATAAGCCACAACTCGACGTTAAATCGATATTATACAAAGCAAGAATGATTTATTTTTTTTTATTAATGTTACGAAAGCAGGAGTAGGTAGATATGGTATTTTAGCATTAAGAAATGATATTAACATTATTTATTACAAATAAAAAAAAGCAAATTTAAGCCACAATAATTTTAGTTAAAAAAGAGACAAGCCACAAATTTTAATTACTCACTTGTGGTTCACTACCTGAAAAATGTTCACTATCACTATTACTTTCAATATAGTCTTTGTCTTTAACACTATCATCAGCATCAAAATTAGAATCAAAATAGTACGTAGAATATTCGTAATAAAACGAATTTTGTGGAGCTGTTCGACTACTTGAAGCGGCCATTATAAAAATATGGTGGCTAGTACCATTGTTGTACTTAAAATAGTTGGTTTCAAGGTAAAACTAATAAGGATATTTATAACACGTGAAGTTATCTATGAAGCAAAAGCTGTAGTTTTTATTTTGTAGGTAGATAGGAACCTAACCATTTGAAAAATAGATATAACTCAGTTTTAGTAAGATTGTGGTTTGTACCGTTGTTGTGCAGGTCAATTTAACCGTTCCTTTACTAAGACAATATTTTATGTTCTTAGTCAAGTTAAGTTAATGTAAAAAGTACATCAATTTCAAAGATGGCCAAAAATACACATATAATTATAACCTTGGCTGGAGTCCGTATACAACTTAACCTAACTTATTTACAACATCTAGGAAATCAATCTGTCCCCATTAGTGCAACCTATTTTAGCAAAAAATCGACTAACCACTTATTCACTGGAGTATTATAACAGATATATAGAACTAAAGATACTTTTATCCATTTCAATTTTTAATTCTACTTTTATCCATTTTAATTTTTAATTCCGTTTGTTTCAACCGACTGTAAATAAATTTTCCTTTTAAAAACCAATTTAGTAAATTCGAATAATCTCTCATCAATAAAACCACTTTAAAAGTAGTAATAACATTCAAATTTTTAATAAAAATTTATAATTTAATGCACTTTTTATTGCTCTCTTAATAAAATTATCCTAATAGACCCAACCGTTTAGTAGTTACATGACCAAAATGTGTCTGCTAACATTTCTTTTGAAGATTCTCGTTTATAGCTTCTGCATTTATTATTTTTATAGTTCGGTTTTCATTGCTATACTGCTCTGTATATTTAAAGTATATCATTTTAATGGTCCGGTAGTTTCGGTGTATTATCTGATATTAAACTTAAATTTATGTGCAAGTTTATAAATATGACCAGTTTTTATTTTCCCATAAAATTAAACTTAATATGAATAAATTTTTTAATACGGATTTTTTAATCATTTTTAATGGAATTGTGCAATAGAACATAAATTTTTAGTTGACCTCTTGTTCACGTAGAAAACTTTCAAGTCATTTTTTTGTTTTTATAACCATATATATGGCCTTTTTATACCACTGTTCACTTAGGAAACTTTTAAGTCAGTTTTTGTTGTTGTTATAACTATGTATCTGGCCTTTTTTATAGCACTGTCTGATAAATACGATTTGATTTAGATTTAATCTATTACAGCTGTGTTCGGGAACTATATATTCTTTTAAAGAGTTTTTAAACTATCACCTTACAGCAACCTCAGAACTAAATATTTTTGTAATTAAGAAATTATGTTATAAAACAAGCAGCATTCGAAGCCCTTGGAGAAAAAGAACATATAACAAGTAAACAGCACTATTATGAAATAAATGAACCAACAAAAAGAATAATTGAAGAAAAATAGCAACTATACAGAAAATGGTTGACCACAAGCAACGATGAAGTTTATAAAGAATATAGAGAAAAATATAGAGAAGTGAAAAACAAATAACAAAACAAAAGAATGAAGAATGCGGCCATAAAAGCAATCAAAAATAAGAAAGCACCGGGACCTGGAGGCATCTCACCTGAGCGTATAAAATACGCTCAAAAAATTACATCGGATATACAATGAATATTTCAGAAACCCATAAAAGGAGAACAGCTCCCAAAGGAATGGACGGAGACATAATTATGACATCTATATTTAAGAAAGGAGATAGAAAACGATGCGAAAACTCCAGAGTAATAAGCGTAATATCATCCATAGGAAAATTATATGGAAAGAGACTGTAAGAAAAGAGAGCAAGCGATAAAAGGCAAAATCGTGGAGGATCAGGCAGGCTTTACGGCAGGAAGATCATGCATAGACCACATATACACACTGAAATAACCGTTAAAAAACTAGAGATATACATTTGGCAGTTGTGGACCTAAGAAAGGCGCATAAATCTGTGCCAAGGTCAGAACTATGGGAGGCAATGTAAAGATTAGAAATACAGAGAGCACTCACAGAAGCTACAAAAGCTCTGCATAAAGAAAATAAAGTGTCCATTAAAGTGGGAACAAGAATTATAGGAGACGTTATCACAACAAAAGGGCTCCTGCAGGGTTGTTCCACATCTCCAACCCTATTCAAAATACACTTAGAGAAAGCTTTGACTACATGGAAAAGAAAATGTGAAGGCCTGGGAGTACCTATACAGAACTAAGAAATATACGTTAATCTTTGCAGACGATCCAGTAGCTACATGATGAAGAAACTACAAGAAGAATATACCAAGGCTGGCCTAGATATTAACTAGATGGCCTAGATATCGACAAGTGAAGAAGACATAGAAGATCTACAGATTGATGACAACGTAACAATTAAAGAAAAGGATAAATTCAAATACTTGGGGTTTATAATCACGAAAAAGGCAACAACAGAGAAAGAAATTACGCAAATAGGACAAACAAGAACAGCAATCCGACAACTTAACTCAGTATGGTGGGATAGACACCTAAATATGAAGACAAAAACACAGATTTATAAAACATTAGTGCGAAGTATTATGACATATGGTGCTGAAAATTGGATTCTAAATAAGAAAAACAGCAGTAAGATAGTAGCAACAGAGATGGAATGCCTGCGAAGATGCTGTAGAGTAACAAGAATGGATAGGAGAAGTAATGACCAAATGAAGCAAAAAATATCAATAGAAACAGGCATACTAACATATATAGAATAAAAAAGACTAAAGTGGTATGGGCATATAAAAAGAACTAGCGACAGCAGATGAATAAGGAGAATAACCAAATGGAGCCCCATAGGAAGGAGGAAAAGAGGACGACCCCGAAGATCCTGGAGGAACGAAGTAGACGACGCCATGAGTAAGAGAGGTCTAAACGATGGAGAATGGAACAACAGAGAGAGATGGAAACAGTTGACCGAGGGAAGTCAGTGAATACTGTAGAACCCCTAAATATATATAAGAAATTATGTTAACCTGTATTTGAGTTGAAATTCTGAGGATGATGTTTTACTCTCAGGATTGATATCAAATTTTAATCTTTATGGACTTGTAGTTGGTATATTCTTATTGCTGACTTCTTTCAGTATCGATAACCAGAGTCTGCTTTATTCTGTTGATGAGTTTGCTACACATTTTTCTACATTTGCTTTATTGCATATCTGGAATCTGTCAAATTCTCTGTTTTTGATGTATGATTTATGATCGTTTATCCTAACACTTCGTTATCTTGAGGTTTCTTCCACCTAAAAATTGTTACGTTCACAAGGTATTTTATAAATGCAATATTTGATTTCTGGTCTGTGTTTTTTTGGTTTATAAATGACGATTAATAATCATTTTTTGGTCAAGATCTTTGTTAGCACCTTTTTCTTACTAAAATGCATTTTCGATTTCGTTGAAGCAGGCGTTATAGCTCTATCAGATGGTGATTTTATGATTCCCTTTTGATATTTATGTTGTAGAGTGAGTGCTAATTTAAATGTCTGTTGGAGTTTTAGACTTTATAAAGTCTTAGAATTATCGTTTTCTTTTATCTCCCAATACAAATCATCAAATGTTACTGACATAGAGTACTCGTAATCGTTTTTAAAAACACTTACATTCCTCATGTATTTAAAAATCACGTACACTAAAACATTATTTAATGTATTTTTAGCTCCTCCAACTTTCATAGAACGTCCCAAGGATCAGAAAGTTAGTCTTAACGGTGTAGTAGAATTTCACTGCTCAGCAACGGGAAATCCACCACCGTCAGTGTTTTGGAGTAAGGAAGGTTCCCAGATTCTCATGTTCTCAGACAATTCAAATGGTCACATGCATGTTAATGCTCATGGAACCCTCAGGATTCAAGGTGTCCAAAGAGAGGATGCTGGATTCTTGGTTTGCAATGCTTTGAGCGTGGCTGGTTCTAATAGCGTTAGAGCTTTTCTTCAGGTAAGCTTATACATACATATTTATCATGCATAGTTGTAAAATTACTTAACAATAAATCTTTCCAAATGGAAATTGCCAGAAATTAAGCATTTTTTTGGAATGTTTAATGGAACTCACGAAGTAAATCTAAGTAAATCAGATTAAAGAAACAAGGTGACCGAAAACAATCACGTTTAACAATGTTTCGAAGTATGCGATGGAAATATTTAAACATTAATTAGACACGATATAAAATAGATCCAAATTATTTTATTAAAAGACAGTTAATAAAAACTTGTCAAAAACAAACCTTTACATAATATTTACTGATCGTGAGAATGACAGAGTTCTCCATTTTTCATTAGTATTGGATGAAATTGTATTGCCAATTAGAAGACCTAGGGATTAGGATTAGAAGGATTCTAATTGAACACTAAATCTATATTTAGATATATATAAAACTTATTTGGTTGACAAATTACTTCGACTTAATATTTGTCCCCAAATAGACATAGGGAAATTAAAATCCTAAAAAGCAATAAGTACCAAATCAATAACGTAGAGATAAATGACAATTTAAAAATGGACAAATTTATATATTTAGAATAATTTATGAAAAACAAAGCGGTGAAGAACGGATATACCGGCTATAAAAACAAAGTCACAAGATGCATTCAACGCCTTAAGTAAAATTTGTTAAACAAGAGGCATACTTTTAGGTTTCAATTTCCAGTTCGAAAATCGTTCTTAAAATACAAACATTAATAAATTAAACAAATTTTGTTTTATAGTTACTGGTGAAAAAATCTTCTAATAATTTAATTTTATCTGACTTATTTATATTGACAATTCAGACATATATTATACGTTTTAAAGTAGATGACTTTAAAATTATATTGCCAATATAGCTGAGTTGCATTCCTGGGACGACTTTATTGTAAGATAGTTGATTCGATTACCCGACTCCTTACTCTTTACAAAACGAGATAGAAAAGAAAATTAAGAGAGATAAAACTCCAATTTATTATTTTGTGTATGCAAATAATATGGTTTTAAAATATTGTCATGGAAAAAAAAATAATATTGAAGATCTCTTGTGGAAAGAAAGGAGATAGGTTTAGAGTCTGATCTAATCTTTATAATGATCGTTTTAAGATTGAAATTTTGTTAAATTTGTATGCAGTATTCTGTTTTTATGGGGAAACTATGTAAAACGAAAGAAAATATGTAAAATATGTAAAGATATATGACATAAACAAGTAAACTTTATTTTAAACTTGATTATCCGGCAATTGTTTTAAACTCACCGACTGTACTTGAATTATTATTTTTTTTAGCAAAAATGTCATTAAAAACATAGAATATAAAACAGAATCTCAAGATAACCATTATCTTCTACTAATATGATGTGATTCTAACTACTAAGATTGGAAAAGATATCGCAAATCACGATGTTAAGACAAAGTTAAGAAAATAAGCGACGAAAATTGCTGTTAGGCCAAATTGTTCTATGTAACAAAATAAACACATCAAGCAAAAAGCAAAAATAAAAATATATGATTTATCAAAAAGATAGTTAGATAAACAACAGAATAACCAAAAAGCTACGAAGAAAAAAGAAAAACTATGAAGAAAAATAAATAATATCATAATATGGCATTTTTGCGGGTATATTCATTCGGATTGTTTGGGCGCCAATTGTCCTATATCCCTGTTAAGGGAACTAGTATCAATGAACACTAGCTCAGGAGGATCAACTGCTTTACTTAACCACGGTGACGGCTCGTTATCTTTATAGAAATGAAAATGCCGTTGTTGGTTCCCAAAATCGAATTCGGGCGCTCTGGCTTCGGCCTACGGCAGACAAATGAAGGAGAAAAAAAACGAAAACATGATATTAATGTGTTTTCTAATAATTTTAATATTTTTTAGGTAACATCAGTAGCCGATTTACCTCCACCCATCATCCAAATAGGACCAGCAAATCAAACTTTACCACTACATAGCATGGTGACACTTCACTGTCGAGCTTCTAGTCCTGAAGGAGAGGCTCCGAAAATTCGTTGGCTCAAAGATGGGAAAGCTCTGTTTGGAAGCAATCTACCTTCTAGATATACCTTAAGTGGCACAGGTACCTTGGATGTTGATGGTAAGTACTTAATATTTTACAAATTTTTAATAAATATTAATAAAATAAACATTTTTCTTTTTTTAAAGCCCCTTTCTCTATTCGGATTGCTGAATATAGGCCTCCCCTAATTCTCGCCATTCATCACTGTTGTTTGTAAGACGTTCCACATTGGCCCTGCAGTTCTTTTAATATCGTCGCTCCACCACATTAGCGGTCTTCCTCGTGGTCTTTTGGCTTCAAATGGCCGCCAATTCCCGATTTCTATATTCTATCGGCCATCCATAAGACGTTTGTTATGTCCAGCCCATTTCCATTTCAGTTTAGCTGCCTGTTCGACAGCATCTTTTACTTTTGTTCTATTACAAATGTTTTCATTCATTTTATGGTCTTTGAGTGAGATGCCCAGCATCTGTCGTTCCATAGCTCTCCGAGTTTTTCTGATCTTCTCCATGTTTATTTTAGTGAATGTCCAGGTTTGAGCTCTATATGTAAGCACAGGTAGGATACAGGAATTGAACACTTTGGTTCGCAGTCTCTGAGGTATATTTTTATTTTTAAGTATTTTTTTATATCCCATCCCATTTTTACACGTCTGTTTATTTTGGTAGTCTGATTTTCTTTGCTTACCTTGACATTTTGACCCAGATATGTATATTTATCTATGTGTTCTATCTCTGTCCCTTGGATGTTTATCATAGGTTTGTCATCTTTGTTTGACATTAGTTTAGTTTTGCTGAAATTCATTATCAGTCCTTTTTTAGGGATTCTGTGTGTAGCTCCTCAATCATCGTGTTCAGTGCATTTCACGTATCGGCTATTAGTACTACATCATCTGCGTATCTAAGATGGTTCAAGTATCTTCCGTTGATAGGGATTCCCTTATTTTCCCAGTCTATCCAGTCTATTGACTTAAAAATATCTTCTATCGCAGCTGTAAATAATTTTGGGGATATTGTGTCTCCTTGTCTTACTCCTCGGTTGATTTTTACTGGTCTTGTTTCGATTCCATTACCCAATGTCACTATCATCTCAGCTTGTTCGTAAATATTATGTATTAGCGTTTTCAATCAACGGTATTAGTATTCTCTACCTGGAGTCGATCCGGTTGCTGACTAATGCTTCTTCTATTGCCCACAGTTCTACGCTATCAAAAGCTTTTTTATAATCTATAAAAGCCAGACATAATGGGAGATGGTATTCGTTAGTCTTTTCTATTAGGATCTTTAAAGTGTATAGAGGGTCACAGGTGCTGTACCCTTTTCTAAATCCGTCAAATTTAATTTTTAACCTGTTTGTAATAATCTTTGTAAAGATTTTGTAAAGTTGTGAAAGAAGTGAAATTGTTCGATAATTTTTCAAGTCTGTAGTGTCTCCCTTTTTGTGTATTAGTATTGTTTTAGGAGTATTCCACTGTTCGGGTATGTTGCCTTGGAATAAACATTTATTAAATAATATTTTTGGATACGTGATGGCTTCTTTTCCGCCTTCCTTCAGCATTTCTGCTAGAATTCCATCGCTTCCAGGAGCTTGATTCCTTTTTATTTCTTTTACTGCTCTTTTTATTTCTTCGTGGCTTATTTCGGGCATGACTTCTGAGTTGACATTTGTTATCTGCCTCTTCAAGTTTTGCTTTGAAGAGTTAGGGGGATCATTTTTGGAACGGTACAGATCGGCGTAGAACTTTTTAATTGAGTTTGCAATATCAGATTTACTTTTTTCTAGTTGTCCTTGTTCATTTTTTATCGTTATTATGTTTTTCTTTTCTAGTTTCGGTTTGTTGCATTTGAGTCTTCGGTTTTTCTTTATGATTTGTTTTATACGGTCTTCTTGATGTTTTTAATGTTCACTTTAATCTGTTTTCTTATTACTCGATTAAGTTCCTTAAATTCTACAGTGTCTCTTTTGATTTGCCTCAGAAGATATTTTCTTTGTTTCAGCATGTTTTGTGATTCTACACTTCTTTTGGATTTTTGTTTTCTGTTAGCGGTTGCCACTTCTGAGCTTGCATTTAATAGTTCTTTTGTTATGGCCTTATTGATTTCATTTAAGCTAAGTTTATCTAGATTTAATACTTTCGCAGGATTTAACTTGCTTTTATATTGTTCTGTAGTAGATTTTAGTTTATCTGTGTCTATATTCCAAGTTTTTCTAAATTTCTTTCTATTTTTATTATGTTTTAACTCTAATTTGACTGTAACCATTCGGTGATCGCAACTTACTGACGCCGTATTTATAACTGTTACGTCCTGTATGATATCCGCTTTGTTACACAGAATGTAATCTATTTTGTTCCGAGTTTTTCCGTCTGGGGATAGCCACGTCCACTTTCTTTGATGTTTTTTCTTATAGAATGTGTACATTGCATAATATTTGTGGGCTTGTAAGAAGTTAACCAAGATTTCTCCTCTCTCGTTTCTAACTCCAGAGCCGAATGGTCGTATATAGTTTTCGGTTTTTTTCAAGTCGTTGTCCGATCTTAGCGTTGAAGTCTCCTATTATCATCGTATACGCCCCGTGATAATTCGTGCTAGTTTCTGAAATTTTTTCATAAAATTCGTCTGTCTCTTCATCGGGATGTGTTGCGGTTGGAGCGTATACTTGAATAATTTTCAGGGAGATGTTCTCGTTTACATTTAACCTAATAGTTTCAATTTTTTCAGATATTCCTACGAATTGCTCCACTTTATGTGCATATTTCTTGAAAATTAGAAATCCTGCGCCATCTAGGCTTTGTTCTTCTCGCCCTTTGTAATATAAGATGTTACCGGACCCTAGTGTTATGCACTCTTACCCTTTTCTTTTTACCTCTACTAGACCAATTATGTCCCATTTTAAGTCCTTGATGTCTTCTTCGAGTTCGTATACTTTTTTATCTTTGCTTAAGGACCTTATATTTAGAGTGGCGATGTTCAATCGTGTGGTTTTTAGCAATTTCTTGCTTCCCCCAGATTCCATGAAGCTGTCTTTTTTTCCAAAGGAGTGGCATTTGCCATTACTGTATGGTCTACCCACCTGGGGATCCATTCCTTTTGTATTAGACATCGCCATATTCTTATTAAGAGGTTTTTTAGCCTTAAAACACCACGCTGGCCAGACGGGTTAATGAGCGAAAATAAACATATGAGTGTATATATTTATCATTTTTAAAAGGTTCGACACAGTTTTCCGGTACCCATTTGCCACTCTTTTCTATTCATCCTAACATATTCATATTTTGAATAGACTCGTTTCTGAGTGCATTTCTGATTAATCTTTATTGCTTTCGTATTCGTGTCCATGTATTTACATGGGTTGGAACTTACTTAATAATTTTATCTATTTGTTAATAATCTTCTTCATTAATACATCTCCTTGTAATTGCTTTGTCTGGTGCACCATCATACGGTGCACTAAAACAGAGAAAACTCTTTTAACACCGTATTTCCAAATATATTGAACGACTGTTTCAATACAAAATTTTATGAAATACGACGTAAAAATAAAATTAAAAACAAAGCAAAACTTGAATCACGCTACATGTTATCATAGATGCAACCGAATGCGTCAGATTTGTTTACTTTTTTTTATTTTGTAAAAGTTGACTTTATTTTCCTCATTGAGATTTGCTATTTAGTCCTAACATTTCTTCTTCTTATTGGTTACAATGTTGTTAACTTTGTAGGTGATTAAAATGCTGCTCTATATGTTTATGTGTAATATATTATATATGAGTTTTAAAAGTAATCTCCAGCCTTAAGTTTAAATAGAAATTTAAATAGAATAAATTCTTATTTGGTAGACACTTTCATTTTTAAACTAGATATTCATTATATACTCTGAAATAAACAATTATTTGATATTCAGTTCTTAACATTATATATAAATGCATAAAACACATCTCAAAAACTCATCAAAGTAACATATCCTTATTTTAGAAAATGTTACCGAACTATATGCCCGTTGTATCCTATATGATTCGGTCTCTAACAACTTGTGAACGTCATTTCAAATGTAAATAACCAAAAAGTTATTTTCATATATTTTCCCATTTCCATTAACTACAAAACACCAAATGATGAACGTTGAAACATATAAAATTGACTAATTCTCCGGGGCATTTACGGTAATAACCTTATAACTACAGTTAAAATGAGTGTTGTGTACATTTCCACCAGGCCTAACGAAGTTTTCCGTGTAATTTGAATTGTTATGAGCACCATTCAACAATAATATTCACGGACACTCGAAATTTTAATTGGAACACGAAAAAAAGAGATGTTTCAAACTTTCAGATTTATTATTTAATTGTATTTATTTAGTAAGAGCAACGATGATTGGGGGAGGGAGGTCGAACAATACTGTTTTACAAGCCAAACAATTATGGACCAACATATATACACAAAATTATTATTTAGATGTGTCTAAGGCTTTCGATAACGTCTATATTCAAGGTAGAGACGATATTCATTAAAAAAGTAAAAAAGTAGTATCCAACATATTTAACATGAAATATTTTTTCTTCGTTCTTAAGTTTATTACGAACATCTGCCATGTTTCTATCTACTTCCCTGGCACTTCGGATTTTCCACATTCCAACGGCCAATAGTAATAGTTTTTTCCGTAGACTTTTCCTGTATTGTCAGTTTCATAAGAATGTTTCTTCGAAAGGAAATACCACTGTAATAAAAATATAAACAATACAAACGATAGCACGACAAAGTCCAAGAGATACCACGAAAAGGTATCAGGTATATCTGCTAATTTATTTATGGCCATTTTAATATAGGAAATAAGAGATTTAGTTCTTAGTAGAGCTCTACTTACACTTCGATTCCTCTCTCCTTCAATATCAGACGTATATTAAATTGTGCCTGTCTCGTTTATTTTTGTTTCTGGCATTTTATTTTCTTCTTGGTAGTCTGGCACCATCATCTATGCTCACTATTTATCGAAATAAACATTTATCGTTCATTTAATTTTGAATACCTTCCTTGGAATTTTTTTTCAAAAACCTACTATTAGTCTAATATTGGTTTAATCTTATTCTTAGGATTTCGCTGAATAGTTTTGGAATTAAACATGTTATTCAGCAAGACATAACTTTGTTGCCCTTAATTTTTTTGTTAATTTCTGCTTTCGTTTCCTTATATTTAACTTGAATTTAAGATATATGTTAAATAGCTTCTTATATGTTATATGTTAATATCTTCTTATCTTGTCCGTGTTATTTTCTTTTTGTAATATGCATATTAACTTCTAGATGAATTTTATTTACCGCTCTTTTTAATTCTGGATATATTTATGATGCCTCCTCTGCTCCGAGAGACATAATCTTAACGTCATCGTCATGTGCGATAAGTTTTACTCATTTGTTTGTTAAAATATAGGCCCTTTCTACATTTAGTTATCGTATGGTAATATATCAAAGCTAGATAGAACAGTATTGGAGCCAATCCACTGCTTGGCTTTTAATCCTTGGACTATCGAAAGCTTTCAGTAAGTTTATTCTGTATACTGACCGTTTCTGTGGTTAAGTCCAATAAAAAATTAAAAAAAAAAACAAACATAAAAACGTTCAAGGCTCTAATATGTACATGTACAACCACTATAAACGGATTAGAAATGAAACGAATACTTTAGTTAGACAAATAAAGATGGGACATTGGCAGAGCTTCTTAAAACAGAGCGTTCCAAAAATGGAACATAAAAAACATATAAAGAATGATCAGAGCAGAAAGAGAAAAGATGAGAAAACTAATAAAAACTAAACACATTCAGAAAAAAAAAACATGGACAGACTACTTTCGATCCCTATTTGCTAAAGGTGTCGATAATAAACCACCAACACCAGAAATGATGACAAACGAAGAAATAAATATTGAGGAGAAAGAGGTAAAGGAAGCATTAAGGAAATTAAAAAATAGAAAATCACCAGGGCAGAAAAGAATTCCGAACGAACTCCCAAAGTACGGAGTACCAAATCTGACCAAACAATTATTAAAACTAATCAAAAAAATAATAGAACAAAAGAGAATTCCTCAAGAATGGAGATCAAGCATCCTAATACCGCGTTTTAAAAAAGGAGCAAATCGGATTTGGAAAATTATAGAGGATTTTATTTATTAAACACAAACTCAAATTAACAACTAAAGTGATAACAAATAAACTTAATGAAATTATAACATTAACAGAAGAACAAGGTTTTAGGTCAAGAAGATCATGCATCCACGTTATATTTATAATGAAATAAGTGCAAGAGAAATCTTTAGAATACAAAAAACCGGCATGTCTAGGTTTTGTGAACCTTAAGAAGGCATTTGACCAAATCAAATTAAAGAACGTTATCCACTTATTATACGAAAGAGAGATATCTCTAGGAATAATCAAAACAATCGAAAATATCTACCAAAACAACACAATAAGTAAAAGTAGAAGAAGAACTAACTGACCCTATTGAAGCTGGCGATAGGATAAGACAGGCAGATTCCCTGAGTCTTTTATTGTTCAACTAAACTTACTAAAAAAGAATACCAAATGGGAGAAAAACAACTTTAAATAATCTGCTATGCAGATGATGCTTAGCATACAACGTATGCTGAACCAACTTAATATAGCCGCCAGAAAATTTAACATGTTAGTTTCCCCAAAAAATTACAAAATGTATGCTTATAACAGCAAATTTACTAAGATGTAAATTGAAGCTGGAAGGTCAGATAATAGAAGTGATCTAGCTTAAATATCTACATAGGCATCACATTATCTAGCTACGGAAAGCTCTAAACAGAAGTTGAAGATCAAGTAAACAGAGCTGCAAGTTACCTGAACGAAACAATATAGAGAAATAAAAATATCGGAAAAGAAATTAAAGGTAGAATTTACAAAACATTCATCAGACACAAATGACATATGCGGCAGAATTACGACCTGGCACAGAGAGGACAAAATGATGTTAAAAATAGCAGAGATGAAAATACGTTATAGGACAGAGCTAGAAGTAGAGCTAGAAGATATACATATAGTAAGAAATAGAAGAGTAAAATGGGACGATCGAGCCGAATGACAACAAATAGAGTAGTAAAGACAGCTAGAGACGGTTCGCCAATAGGAAGATGATCAGTACTAAGACCACTAAAATGATGGAACGACAACTTACTGTAGGCACATCGAAAAACATATTAGAGTCATGGCCACATAAAAGAAGAAAAAAAAAAGAATATGTACATGTCAAATAGTATTTACAATATATTTTAGTCTTCTTTTTTCTTCCCCCAACATACCGCTTCTTCACCGCTTACTTTGTGGGACCTCATCCTATTCGAGCACCTAATTATCTATGATGTTAGGCACCTGCATGCCTATTTCCGTAGGTACTATTTTTGGCACTCTACTTAGCTGCTTGGGTGCAAGTCTTAACCAGCATTCCGTTTGTTTTTACAAGCTTCTTCCAGTTGGTTTCCGCTGTTAAACTCTATACTGGGACTGCATATAATATCACCGTTTTAGCATAGGCCTAATATAATTGAATCGTCTTCGTCTACAATAGACGTCTGGTCCTGTATATGTAGGAAATCAATCTGTTCGCCACTACTGTATTTTTTTTGGATTCTTGGGTGTGTTTTGTGAGGTTTAATCTAGTCTTTCTAGATGGGCTTCTAGATACTTGACGATAGCTTATACCCGGATGCTATTTCCTCTCATCGTTTTTTCTTCCCTGATTGATACGGTCTGCTATGTAAAGATGATAAACTAAGTCTTCTCAGTGTTGATCTTTATTTTATATTTGTCTGTGTAGTCTGCAATTCTCTCTAGGTGGTTTTCATATCTCTCGAAGATCCTCCTGTTGTCTTTAGCTGAGGTGTAGATTACTGTGTCAAGTCACTTTGCCGTGTTTGTTCTGGTATCAGTGGGCAAATCTAAAACAAAAATATTATATAGTATCGGTGATAAAATGCTGCCCTGAGGCATCCTTTTTGAACTGCTTATATCCTAGACATCTTTTTATCAGCTGCAATCTGAAAAATTCTATTAGTGCAATATGTATCACATATGATGTCTAAGTATGAGGTAACCTAGCTCTTTCCATTTTGTAAATTAGGGTTTTTCTTCAAACTGTGTTGTAGACTTTTTCTATGTCCAGTGTGGTCATTTCTGTTATTTTCTCTGTGTTAAAGTCAATTTTTTGCTCTTGGCTAGTTGTAGTTCATAATTTCTTTCTTTTCTAAAACCGAGTTGATCTTCCTAGATAACTCTTATTATTTCTACATGCTTTTAGTCTTTTGTACATGATCCTTTCCAATATAATTTTCTAAGAGATTCCTAGTGATATCGGCCTGTAACTGCTTGTTCTTCTTATATCCTGTTGTGGTTTGAGTAGAGGAATAATTTTTGCATGTTTCCAGTTGTTCGGAAAATATGCATACCTATTCTAGGCAGAATCTGTGTTATGTAAAATGGTTGCACCATTCCCGGTACTCTATTTCCTTTTATTGTTCTTATTATTTTTGTCACTTCTGCTGGACTTCTTTTTTCTTTAGTTTTGTTTACCATTTCTATTGTTTATCCTATGTTAGTTCTATGTTCAGTTTTCTTGCTATTGCATCCAATTTTGCTTAAGGTAGTAGCGGTTTGAATTTATTAAAAGCTTGGCTTGCTTGTTCGTCAGGACATTTCATTTCTTGTTAAAGATCAGGTATATATATATATATATATATATATATATATATATATATATATATATATATATATATATATATAGTTCTGTAAAAAGCGTAGAGTAGATATAACTTTTTATTCTTCTTAGAGTCATCAGTTTTTCAGAACCGATTACAGTAGCTTTAAATAACTTTTAATTGTAATGTCATTTTATCTTGCCTTCCATTATTAAGCAACTAATTTATCTATTGAGGAAGTACTTGATCTATAACCACTTTGTATTGATTCTACTTTGTTTTGAATTTATTTATTACTACATATTTCTACTTTATTTTAAACCAGATATATAATTTTCATGCAACAAACTGCTTTTCTTTGTTTCAGATCTCAGATTAGATGACTCAGGCCAATACACCTGCTCAGCCACATCCGAAAGTGGCGAAAGTTCTTGGTCAGCATCCCTTAATGTCGTCGAAGGAACCTCAATTCCACTACATCGCAGTCCGGATCCGTCTACATTTCCAAAAGCTCCAAGTATTCCAAGAATCTTAAATTCCACCGAGTCAAGTATAAGCCTGTCATGGGATAGTGAAGACGACGAAAATACTTTAGTAGGTTATACTGTTGAATATTGGAGTCCAGATTTACAGACTGGGTGGGTTATAGCTGCCCATAGAATCCAGAATCCCTATATGGTGGTTCACGAGCTGAAGCCAGATAGTTCATATGTATTTATAGTAAGAGCAGAAAATGCCCACGGATTATCTCCAGCTAGTCCAGTATCAAAAATTGCCAGAACATTAGCTAATTCAAGATCGTTACCTAGCTCAGAGTTAGATACTGCTAGAGCTACACTTAGCACCAAATTAATTGAGTTAAAGGAAGCAAAACCCCAATCTTCCAGTTCTGTCAAACTGATTTGGAATTTTTCTGATAATGACTATGTAGAAGGTCACTACATTAGGTTTAGAGAATTATCAGGAGGATCTCACAATTACAACATACTAACAGTATTAGATGTTGAAGCAAAATCTTATGTAGTAGCAAATTTAAAGAAATTTACCAAGTATGAATTCTTTATTTCACCGTTCTATAAATCGGTAGAGGGTCAACCATCGAATTCAAGAATAGCCCAGACGTTAGAGGATGTTCCTTCTGCACCGCCTGATAGCATAACGGCTGGAGTTTTTAATGACACCGCAGGTTGGGTACGATGGTCGCCTCCTCCACCCCAGCATTGTAACGGAATAGTTACTGGTTATAAAATTCAGATTAAGGGAAATATTGTAAGATCAATGACTATGAATGCTTCCACGACTTCTATATTAATTAGCAATCTTACAGCTGGTGGTTCGTATACCGCAAAAGTGGCAGCACTCACAATTGCTGGCCAAGGTCCATATTCTAACCCTGTACCCTTGCTCACTGCACCGAGAGCTCAAAGTCCTAGAACATTAGGTCCCTTTGTACCGTTAGTTCGCCAGACCTGGTTTGTTGCACTTCTCGCAGTTCTTGTATTATTATTGCTGTTAGGTATTGGAGTACTTCTATACTTAAAACGAAGACAGTCATTAAGTAAACAATTGGGACATCTAAATGTCCCCGTAGTAAATGCTTCTCAGTTGAATGCAAAAGAAAGTCTGTGGATTGACAGGGGATGGAAAGCTACCGATTGTGATAAGGATTCTTCTATTCCTTTAGCACAACCTGCAGATTATGCTGAAGTTGACACTAAAAATTTATCCACATTTTATAATTGCAAGAAAAATTTGGAAAGTCCTACCCCTTACGCTACAACAATGATTTTGCCACCTCCAAACTGGTCTGAGATAATTCCTCCTCCACCAGACCACCCTCCTCCAGATTGTCCCCGAGAAAATCCCCCAGTACCTCCGCCAAGAGGCGGTGGTAGTACTTGTGGAAGTGCTGGGGGGTACGGATGTTACTCTGTCCACGTTCCTAATCAATGCGGTAAAATTCAACATGCCAGAGCTCGTTCTTGCAATAACTGTGATGCTCACTGCTCTTTAGCTAGTGGTAGTTCCGGTCATAGATCAAACAGTAGAGGTTATTGTAACAATATTCCCCACAGCTGTGATACTAAGATTTGGTTTAACCAACATAATTGGGATAACGAAGACGCCGACTGTGAAGATAGACACTCATGTACCAGTAGCCATGATACTACCTGCTCATGTAGTGAATCGTCCTGTTTGTATGCTGAAGCCGGACCTTCCAATAACCCCCGTCCTTTGGCTCACAACCCGCAGGTTAATAAACGGCTTAAGTGAGGGTACGCCGACTTCAGCATTTATTTTTAGTTCATCGAGCATATCTCCGAGTCGGAACGGCCCGTCTATGAGAACTGCATATCAGATATGAATGCTACGTTTTACTAGTCCTAGTTTTAGAAATCGATATGCTCAGATTAGATTGACCAACGTCTTCCTGTTCAATAGCGCGGTGTCCTAGTAGGAAGCATAATTTTAACTTACGAAGCTCGTTTTAATTGGTATTAAGGAGAGTCAATGTTAAGTTAGACTTCTAAATAGGTTTTTGTTCCTTTTGTATATTGTTTAAACATTGTTAAAACGAGTATGTGAATTATAAAAACTGTAAGACCATGAAACTTTATATAATAGTGTATCTTGGTTTATTTCTTAATCGATTATATTTATCACATTTTAATACATAGTTCTGCTTCATTAGGAGTTTTGACTAGAAGTCGAATTTGTCCATTATAGTAATTTGTTAAAGCAATATTTAATACCAACTAGTTTTGTGAATAATGTAATCTTCATTTTTAATGCATCTTATAAAAACATATGCAGAAAGATACGTTATCTGTGCTTGAAAAATAGTATTTTCTTCTTGCGTGTTAATATTTTCTTCTCTAATTTTTGTTTGTCATTTTGTAGTTCATCAAATATAATATTGACAGTATCTGGAGATAAGTTTTTTTCTTATCAAGTTATTAAGCAAATCAAATATAATATTACTTTATAATAATAAAAATTTGTAGTGTTGTACAGCTCTGAAGCCGTACAATACTGCGGCCTAGGTTGCTTTCGGTGATATATGCTGAGGAGTTGCCTTTGCTCAAATCTAACATTGGCACTATAAGAACATGGAAAAATGAAAAATAGATCATTAATTGATTTGGTCCTTCTTTTGTACATAGTTTTCTTGATATTTGTCGATTTTTATTTTTAAACATGGACTTTTTAAAGATATACTCCTTTTTGTGGCAGTTTAAAATTTTAAAAGGACAATTTCAGAATGTGTGATAATATTGAAGATCTGATTTTAATATAATAGTCTTTTTAAACATTTTATGTAATATGCGATTTATATTTTCTTCACCGAAAACTCGAAATTTTTAATTGATTGATTTCATATGGGTAAAAAGACTATTTTTTGCAATGAAAGATTATACTATTTGTTCAAAATTAGATGTATCTACTTGAAAATATTGTAAATACAAACAGTTGTAGCAAGCACAATATAAATGGATGAATGTAATTTTTTGTACTTTAACTGAACAATCAGTGGAATACGTAAACAAAAATCTGTATTTTCATGTACAAATGTGGAGAGAAGTGTAAGATCTAATGTTAGCATCAATATTTTTGTCTTAATTTAAAAATTTCCGGCATCGTGAGTGTAAGTCGGAATGAAAGAAATTGGTAGTTTAAAAATATTTTAACGTTAAAAGTAATAGTTTAATAATGAAAGAAAGAATACCCAAACATTTCTAAATTTTTAAGACTTTTCCATATCATTGTCCACTTTGAAGTTTTCATTGGATCGTAATGGTAATTGTAATACTGCTAAAGTAATTTTAATAACGGATTTATCATCTACGTAAAAAAGTGAGTATAAATGTAAAATGAGTAATATGTTTTGGAAATAAACCACAATAAACCAAACTTCAGATTTCTTCTATAAATTGCACAAGACAAGACACAAAAACAAGAATCTATAAAGCAGCAATTAGACCTATAGTAACATACACGGCGAAGACAAAACCCGGCACATTTAAAACGAGACGACTGCTAGAAACAACAGAGATGAAAATACTCCGACAAATATCAGGAAGAAGTCTGTTGGATAGGGAGAGAAGCGAAAACATAACAAGAGCATGCAATATAGAGGTAATAAATGGATGGGTGACAAAACGAAAACAGGAGTGAAACGAACATATCAGTAGAATGGCAGAGGATAGAATAGTACGAATAGCACTAGATAAGTCACCAAATGGACGAAGAAGTATTGGCAGACCAAGAAAAAGATCATTCGACAATTTAAACAATTTAGGAGACTAATATTAAAGAAGAAACAGCTTTTAAAGCCTACATACTAGAAGGAAGAAGAAGAAGAATTGCAACGTAAAACAGACGATGAAAGGATTAAAAGAAGGACATGAGAAATCTAAAAATTGCATTTCACAACATATCTACTCATCTAAGCAAGAACCTTTGATGAACTGGTATCTTGTACTAATAAAGACTAAATAGAAATAAATAAAAGACAGTTAAGATTTGATTTCGCGTATAATGCATCTGTATATTCGTTTATATGTATTTGACACTACCATGATTCATCAGGGCGACTGGTACAGAAGCTCTAATAGTAAAATAAAATCTTTTCCGTCAAGAAGTGTCACTATAAATAACAAGACGCTACAGCGACATCTGAGAATAAACAACAAAGTAGAAATCCGAAGATTTCTTGGTTGACGAAACCATGCAATTTTTAAAACCCTCTTGTCACAATGCATCTAGTTCCCAGCAATTATTTTTACGTCATCGCTCCAACGCATCGATGGTAGACCTCTGCGATGTTTATCAGCTCATGGTCGCCAAGCGGATTTCAGGAGAAGTTGCGGGACAAAAATTATCACCGTCAAGCATTAAAGTCTAGATAAAAAGTCTGTGGAACATAATAGACCATTGACTTAGGTGTTTATCGATTTCCATAAAGCATTTGATATAGTATAACTATCATATTAATAATAGCAGCACTAGACAATGTAGCATATATTTCAGATACAAAGCTTATATAATACGTGAACAACCTTCCACCACAACTCAACGGTAAAATTTCAGGTTAAATTAAACTAGACAGAAGAGTTAGACAAGGGGATACCATTTCGCCAAAACTTTTTATAAATGTCATCAATATGCAATGAAATCACTGTTTTGGAAAAACAAAGGCATCATTATCGACAGCGAAAGGTTAAATCACCTTAGATTCACAGATAACATCAGTTGATCACAGACAACATCGTTAATGTAAAACAGATTGACGAATTAATAAAAGCCTCATTGAAAGTTGGTCCCCGACTACATAGAAGCAAAACTCAAATAATGATAAAACTAATACTCGTACAGAACGTCAGAATAGAAGCTTTGACTTTAGGACGAAATACAAATTAGAAAGAACATTTAAACGCATGACATACAGCGTAGAATAGATTTGGAAAATTACGGAAGATATTTAAAGGTAATAACATACATATATCTGAAGAGAAAAGTATATAAACAATACGTGTTACCAATAATGACATAAGGAACGTCGACAATAACATAACAATAACAAAAAATACAGCAGAAAATTTAAGAGCATCCCAGATTGCCATGCAAACTTACAAGAATTTCCTACACACGAATGTGAGAATATCTAGAAGTCAGATAGTACTAAATCTGGTGAATACGACGAATATCGCAATAATTTCTACTTTACTGCTTTTCGCGGTTGTTTTTGAGCTATGTGAATACTAACTTCATGATTGGTTATTATTCCTTAAGCTTTTGATTATACTAATATTGCTGGTAAATCTAAAATTCATTTATAGTGATAAACAGAGGCGTGTAATTTTTTTTATTTCTAAAAGCTTCAAACATTGCTGAGTAAATCAAGTTTAAATGTGTTCATGTTCTATTCCAAAACTTCACAGCAGTCAAAATATTGCTCACACTGCCTAATGAAATCCCCAGGACTTGAACTAAATCTTAATCATATTCTGTATGTTTGCTATAATCGTGGGTATTTATATACGTCACACGTGTTTGTCATACAATATTATATCTTAAAAAAAAATAACACTACGAACCTAATATCGCCATCTTTTATGGAACAACAAAATTAAACTATTTAAACAGTCTTTATGAATTCTTTTTTATTGCCGTTTCATATTTCTTTTTTCTTTTCGTGACAGAGGATCATCTACAAAGGTTAACGCACAGTTTTCGAGACCGAAGATGATTTCCAAAGATTAACGCACATTTTCAATACATTAAAGCAAAAGATAATGTGGTAATTTACATAATTTAGTAGGCTTATATCGACGAAGAAATAGTTCGTAGAATTCTATATATCAACAAGGAAGAACCCTAAGAAGGTTTTACCGTACCCTATCATCAGCAGCTAAAGTAGTTAATTTTAATAATTGTCTATTAAGAACATTTTTTTAGACAGTCGTGTTGTATTTTCGTCTATAATAAATGACAAATTTTCTGTAAAATTACATGCAAAAATCGTGTAGTATAGTTGAAGATAAAGCATTTATAAATCTAAGAATTTACCTACAGTTTAGTTAAGTTATGTGAAACGTGTTTTAAAAGAAGAATCTGAAAATCTCAAGTAACAACATGGTCCAAAACTGGTAATTATTTGTAAAAGTAAACTTCTATTATGAAGAACGTCCATCTTTTGATGATCGAAAAGAAAGGGTTTTTATGGAAATTTAAAAAACTTAAAATATATATCTATTTTAATTTAATATAAATTATACAAAATTTTAATTAAAACATTCTTCATTCTTTTTGTATATTATTGAGTATGTTTCTTTCGACAAATTCTTTCTTTTGGTTGTTAATCTATTACCATCTTTTTATTTTTACGCTGTTGTTTTTGTAAAATTTATGTACAGCTTAATATATGTTATGTAGTTATTATAAGGAAGTGTTTTATTGTCTTAAAATGTATTTAATAATAAATCCCTCGCACTAATTAAACTGCAAAAACGAATGTTTCCGTCTACATGGATGTATAGTTATGTAAGGTAGACAATTTTAAGATCAATAAAACAACTTAAGCAGTGCCATAAACTTAATCATTTATTCCAATACACATATGCAGTACATCTAAAGATAATTAGAGACATTTTTTTAAGACATTGGTCTTGGCATGTACTTATATAAGAAAAGTTATTTAAAAAAAGATAGTAGCTGATGATCTCAACTAAAAATTTACATTTTGTGCATCAAAGATGTTGTTCGTATAGGCT